CGACAACGCGCCAGCAGCCACCTTCCAGGGAGTCAAGAATTCGACCCACTTTCCAATGGTCCCCGGCCTTGCAGGGAAGCACCGGTCAAGAAGAGGGAGAAAATTCGTAGAAAAAACCCGGGAATCAACCGCGGATCAAGGCCGCGAATCACCTACCGAGATGGACCGTCAACTGCAGGCATTTGCAGTTATTTAACCGGATCGACGTATCCGGCCAGTCTCTGTGTGGGACGCTCCAAATTCTAAGTTGCGACATTAAAGCCTCTACAGTCATTATTACAGCCTTTCGCACACATTTAACCTATTGTTAGAGTCAGATTTATGTTAATAAATATATATATATAACCTAACCTACCTCTTATCTATAAAAGAAAGGTAAAACGTCGCCCGGGCATTTATTTCTGACCCGCGGCAGACCCAAATCACGGGCCATTAGCCAGCCCTATCATAAAGTGTTAGATATAAGCTCTAGTGAAGTGCATCAAACTGCCCCTATAGTTATCAGAACTATATGAGCGTAGTGTTTTACCTCTAGATATATAATTATAAGAATTATATATACAACCTACCTAATCAACGGCTCTCATAGCCGCCTGAGCTCAAATATCAGAAATAGCGGGTCGTATTGGCGCTTTTCACCTATCTTTCCAATACCGATCCTATATCTCATATCAGTCCAATCCAAATTCCCTTTGTTAGAGTCAAACCTCTCATACATCCTATCTAAGGGAACGACAAATTGTTACAAAATTAGAGCGCGTCCTATCACCTAGCCATGCCTAAGCGCAATATTACCAGGTTAGCTACATCTCGAGCAGAGTCCAGCGCGACAGCGCGAGAAGCATATAACATGTCCAGAAACCCTGAGAGCCGCAACCTAATGGTAAGTGAAGTACGAGATGATGAGGTACGACGACAGCGCGCTCCAGCCACTGTATCAAAACTTCACCACAATCAATCAATCCAGATCCAAATCGAGATCACATCTCACATCTCAACTCAACTCAAGCCGACACGCGCTTCATCAACATTCACTTCAGTTAACAACGCATTCATCAAGCAATTTTAAAAAGAATTCGCTTCACCGTTTTATAAATCGTCGTTATAAAGAATTCGAAAACTCCAACGCAAAGGAAAATTCCAAGTTACTGCCATCCGCATCGCAAACAAACAAAATTATTGGTTTTATTTCTACATTAGAAATAAGTATCCATTTACCCAGTGCTTATCCAGACGTTCTACCATCGCAGAAGCAGACGTTCCACCACCGCCGAAGCAGAGGCCATAATTGTTTTAAAAAAAAATAATAAAAACAAAATAAAACAAAAAACAAAACAAAATAAAATAAAACAAAACAAAATAAAACAAAACAAAATAAAATAAAACAAAATAAAATAAAACAAAAAATAAGATAAACAAAAACAAAACAAAACAAAATAAAATAAAACAAAACAAAACAAAATAAAACAAAACAAATCCAACATCAAGAGCTCGAACGTATTTTGAACAAACTCCTAGTACGTAAGCGAGTACAGCCTAGCTTTTTTATATGTTTCGGTGCGGTAGAGCTAGGCTCCGCCCACCGCACCGAAAACTCGACCTTAGCGACATCCCCCCGCTTGGAAAGACGCTTGGTACTGACTTTCCGTTGTACCCGGTTTATTGGTACAATCCAACCTATGAGATACAACGCTAAATGATAATTACAACTTCAAGAAAACATGTTTACAAAACAAATAAAAAATAATCCAAAACTCTATATAAACCTAACACAAATCTTATAATTCTCAAAAAACAGAAAAAATCAAAAAACAATTCTTGTCGAGGATAGCTACCAGTACGGTGACCACCGCACTTGGTCCTGGGGCGCGTCGTCGGGCGACCTGGGCGTTTGGTCGGCCTGCGGGTGCACGTTGCACCGGCCACTGTCGTCCTGGACTTCTCCGTCGCGCCAGGGGGCCAGTGGTACTCCCGGCAATTCAACCAGCGTCTCGGGTGGCCTGGGGGACTCGCGACTAGATATCTGTAGTAGGTAGCGCCTGCTACCTACAGCGGGGACTTCAGGCTCGGGACAGACCGTGATTTCGTCGAAGTTGGTTTGGGACACCTCAGCAGCTGGAAAACGGCGTCTGCCGCCTGGATGGCGTCCGTCGGGTGTAACCTCCAGGTTACCGGCTGGGGTAGACGTCATCTCCAGGTCTAGCTGTTCGGGGTGTCGGTCGATCGTCGGTATATTACCCTCCAGGTAAGAATTCCTTATTAAATTGGTCAAGGCGGGCTCCTGCCTTGAATTTGCAGAAACGGCACGCGTCTGGCTTGCAGTACAGGCATTTGTCCCCGCACGCAGATCTGCCACGATTTTTCGGAGCCTCGCTCCTGGCGGCGGCGTCGATCGCGTCGGAGACATGGCGACGATTTGGACTCTACGAAATCGGCGTGGCTGGGTGGTTTTTCGTCGTTGGAACATAAATTCGTCGCCGTTCAGAGAGAGTGCGTCATTCGGGTCGCGATTATTATCTTCTATAGTATGTCCGGCGAGTGACTGTACGGTGCCCTGGCTCGAACCCACGCCATTACTTGCGCCATGTCCCCGATCCGCGGGAACGGATTCGTCGTTTTCGCGATGTACCACGGCCTCCACCGTGATCTGCTGAGGCCCTACCTCGTCGTCGTCATCACTATCGTCGCTGCCCGATTCCGGCCCATTGCGTAGCGGCGGCGGTAAAGGACGGATATCGTCTACGTGAATCGGCTGTTCGCAGTCCTTTTGTTTCACTACATACACATTATCTCCTAGTACGCGCTATATCGGATATGGCCCTTGCCATTTTGGCGCAAACGCGGGTTGTCCGGGTTGCGTTTTTGTTAATACCCGATCCCCCCGTGCATAGTGTCGTTCAGCCTCCCGCGGTTCCGGGAATAGCTTCGCTGGTAAACCTCTTGTCGTCGAAGCGCTTTTAAAATCCTCTCGTCGTGCGGTTGTGGCTGTTCCTGAGCCGGCGCGGGATCTGCCCATGCTCCACGTCGCTTTATATCAAGTCCGAACAATATCTGGGCGGGTGACGCTTTCGCCGCGGCGTTCTGTCGGTTACGTAGCGCGAAAAGGCCTGGGGTAATTTCTTCGGCCACCCTTCCGGATTTTCATATACGAGCGCGCGCAGCGTCTTCTTGAGTTCTTGATTTGCCTGTTGACGATAAATCGCGGACTGGACGTGTTCTATGGGGTGTTCGCCGACGTATTCGCGCCACGTATCCCCTGTGTATGTACGGGCGCTGTCTGTAATAATAACCTCGGGATAACCATATCGCATAAAAATTTCCTGTAGAAAACCGATTTGCTCCTGTGTTGTTGCGCGACTTGCCGGCTTTGCGTTTCTTCACCGCCTGGATGGCCGGCTAGTTGCCCACTGGGTCGCGTCGTACCCCCGGCCTCGGGATGATTGCTGCTTGTCTGGTTCTGGAGCCGGGCGCGCGGCTGCACCGCGGCCCCGGGGTCGTTTCCCCGCCTCTGCTGCGAACAAAATCGCGCGAAATGATCTCCACCGCAAGTATAATACGCTCGCGGTGGTTGGGGTGTTCTTCGTTCTTCGTGTTGGTTAACTGCCGGCGGTGGCGGCCTTGACGTGCCCCGCGTGCGGTCTTCCCGTATATCGCCTTCTACTTGGCCCACTATTTCTAAAAGGGCTTCTAGGCTGCGGAAAAACCTACCGCGTAGGACTGTGCGGGTCGCCGACCGTAACATCTCCACCATATGCGACGTCTTCTCCTCAACCGGGGTGGTAGGTGCTAGACGTTGGTACAGTAACCACTTTTCCATTATAAAAGTGTGTGCCATTTCTTCCGGAAATTGTGGGCGTCCATAAAGTTGCTTCCTTAGGTTGGCTCTTATCGCCACAGAATCGTATTTTTCAACGAATAACGCTCTGAAAATTTCCCAATATAGGCCCAGCGTCTCAATTTGCCGGAACCATTGCAACGTGTCGTCCTCAAAGGCGCACCGTACTTTCGGGGCGAATTTGTCCGCTGGTATATGGTTATCGACTAAATAATCCTCCACCTTCCGGATAAAAACGTCCGGTCGCTCCACATTTCTCCCTGAGAAGACGCGGTCCAGGTCTTCTCGTGGTGGCGGTGACGCGGTCGCTTTTAGGGCGGCTACTTCTTGAGTAAGGTTCCTCACAGCTTGGACGAGCAACAGGCTCGTATCCATGGTCACGGTGGTTTCTAAAGATTCATTACGTGTTTTGTTTGGGCGCCACTGGGTTTCTGCTACGGCGGACTCACCCAGAACCCTTATTGGAGTTTCGTCGAGTCTGTAATCCCATATGCGCTCTGGTGACGCTGTCGACTGCAGGACGCGGGCCGCGGACCTGACGAATCCATCGTCCAACCGCTCGTACGCGTCGTTTCGACCTAACACGCTAGCCCCACGTTCCGGGCCGCCATGTAACGTCACTCGACCTCGGTGACGAAGTTGGACGCCGTCCGCGACGACGTCCACCCCAAACCGACCGTCGCGCGCTTCACGGCCTAGCTCTGCATGCGCGACTCTCTCTCGTAGCGTCCCGTCGAAACACGCGTCCATCGTTGCGCGTATAGGTTACTTCTCGTGCCAGACGCGAAATGCCGTCCCACGTTGCGAATTCTTTTATAAATCAGACTTTGTCTTTGTCTTTTTTCCCCCGGGAAGATATGGTTGTTTTTCCACCCGCTTTTTAATTATTTTTACTTTTTTTCTTTTACTTTCTCCTTCTGTTAAGGGAATAATCTTTTCCTTAACAAATTCTTTTAACTTATTCTTTTGTTTTTGAAAAAAACCTTTTTTTCTTTTTATCTGCTAATATGAAATAGAACGCCGAGTTTAATGTTACTGGTACTCCGAAAGCAGAACCAAGAGCCTTGTCGGAGGAGTCACTCTAGTTTGTCGACCACGACATACACCTCGAAACGCAGAGTCGAGAGAGAGCCGGCTAGCCTTTTTATATGTTTCTGTCAACGCTATGGTTTTGGTTTACACCAACTTGCGCTCGTATAACTACTTCAAGCCCCACGTTGCGTCGCTATGTCAACGCTACGCTTTATATTTATTCTAGTTGGGCTCGGAAATGAGTTGTCTGAGCTTTGGCTAGTGCTGACCTAAACAAAAACGCCGATACAGTTAGAGCGGGTCGTGAGTTTCGTAGGTGTTGGGGTCTATCTCATCCGAGATAGGTTCGAAGCAATGAAAGTAATGTCCGAGCAATATAAAAATTTAGAAAAATTGAGGAAAGTGGGAGATGATTCAAAAGAAATTTAATTAAAAAAAAGTTTTAAAATTTTTGTCAGGCGCCAGTAGATTTTGAAGTGAATCTACAAACTTTAATTTCCTAACCGGATTCCTCTTAAATCTAGGTCAGGTATGTATAACTGTGGATCCTTTCTGATCCTGAAGGTAAATGAAAAATAATTTATGCTAAAATATTTTTCTTGTAAGATAATGGACTGAGTTCCCTTTTGAATTTAAAATTTTTTATAAAAAAAAATTTTCAAAAAAGTATTATCAAAAAGTTCTTTGGAAAAACTAAGTTTGACAACAAAAAAAAAATATTCAGAAAATAATTTTTCTGAGGTTAGGTGCGAAAAGTAAATTTTGAGTTCAAAAAAAAATTTATTTTGAAAAATTNCACACAGCGCAATCACCTTTCGAAGTTTTCAGTGTAGATGTGTTAGGACCCTATCCAGTTACCCCACGGGATAACAAATACGTTCTTATCGTCGAGGACCTATTCACTAAATGTACTGAAGCCAAGCCCGCTTCAAATTCTGAAGCTGCTACTATTTGCCAATTCCTAGAGGATGAAATTTTCGCGAGATACGGAGACCCTAAGGTAGTCATCTCCGACAACGCGACAGTGTTCCAAAGCCAGAAATACCTCAACATGTGTCAGCGCAAGCAAATTCAGCCATATCACACCGCCATCTACTTCCAACGAGAGAACCCCGTTGAACGAAAAGTTGCCGATTTCAAAACCATTCTGCGAGCCCTCATGTACATTCAACAACGGCGGCGAAATTGGGATCAGCAAGTACCACGTGCCCTAGCAATACAGCGCCGACGCAAAAACCGAGCCACAGGAGAATCACCGGCAACCGCCCTCCTAGGATATGAAGCGGCCGCTCAAGGGGGCTGGGAAATTCCAGAATTTCAAAGAAGACGAAAGCGACCCCGAGAAGTCGCGAGGTTGAGGCGCCAAACCATCATCGCTCGACAACTCGATTTCAATCAAAATACCTATCCAGGTCGAGACGATGAGCCTACCATCACCTTCCAAGTCGGTGACATGGTAATGGTAAAAGAGCACAACCCGCCGGATCCTTTCGCACCTACATGGGCAGGACCGTTTCCAATAGCCGTCCGAAACTCGCCACAAATATACGAGGTAGACAAGTATGGAAGGCAATTCAAATATCACGTCGATCAATTTCGACCGGCACCGCCAGGGAACCCTCCGCTGGAAGAGGACGATTCCAGCGACGAAGAAGATGACGACGATAATGCACAACACCCGAACAAATTACAGTCACCGCAGAAGTACACGCCGCCCCACCAACTCCAATCAAATTCCGTATCCGCAAGGTACCAGGCGAAGATGGAAACCGTCGCCGATACCAAGTCATTAACAGTCAGCCACTCGACCAAATCCAAGTCGTCGAAACCCAAAGTCCACTCGACGAAAGGGGGGAGGTGTTGTATAATGTGAGCGAGCGAACTTCAGATTTCGACTATCTTTCGAATCCAAGTTCCAACGCCCGGAACAGCGCTCCAAGACGAGCTCTCTATGCAGAACCTAAAGCCATAACAAACATATTCCACGATGTTTCTAACACTGAAGCCGAAGCCGCTGTCAGAGGAGAAAGTAAAAATTTCACCTATGTTTCCAATCCAAACCTCAAAGTCCAGCACCGAGCTCCAAGCCCGATTTCCAACATAGGACTCTAACAATTGGTTATAAGTTTGCGAAAGGCTGTAATATTGACTGTATAGGCTTTAATGTCGCAATTAAAATTTGCAGCGTCCCACAACAGAGACTGGCCGGATACTGCGATCCGGTTAAATAACTGCAAATGCCCGCAGTTGACGATCCATCGCGATAGGGGATTCGCGGCCTTGATCCGCGGTTGATTTCCGGGTTTTTTATGCGATTTTTCTTCCTCTTCTTGACCGGTGCTCCCCTGCAAGGCCGGCGACCATTGGAAAGTGGGTCGATTTCGTGACTGGAAGGTGGCTGCTGGCGCGTTGTCGGCTTCACATCGGTCGTCCTCGATGTGGTCCATCTCGTCTCCATCACCAGGGGGCGCCTTTTTGACGATTTGCGGCTTCTCGCAGGTGGATTGGAAACATCGGCGATTTTTGTATTTCGGCTGGCTTGGCTCAACTGCGGCTCTGCGATGTTGGAAATCTGAAACATAGTCGTTTTGTTTGTTTTCCTTGGATACTGCTTCATCTTGGTTCGAGGCGGCTGGATGGTAGCCGGATTCGAAACCTTGTCGATTTTTTCTCTCTTCGCTCTGGTAGTGACATCGGCTTTGCGAATGGAAGCTTTGTGCAAATTATAGCTTAGGATTTGGTTTGTGTTACTGGACATCGGACTTAGGACGTTGTCCGGGGTTCTTGGATTCGGAATGGAAACTTGGGTGAAAATTTTACTTTCTCTCCTGACAGCGGCTTCGGCTTCAGGATTAGAAACATTATGTAAGTTAATGCTTTGCCTTCGATTTCTNTTCACCTATCTTTCCAATACCGATCCTATATCTCATATCATTCTTATCCAAATTCCCTTTGTTAGAGTCAAACCTCTCTTACATCCTATCTAAGGGAACGACAAGTTGTTACAAATTAGATCGCGTCCTCTCACCTAGCCATGCCTAAGCGCAATATTACCAGGTTTGCTACACCTGGAGGAGAGTCTAGCGCGACAGCGCGAGAAGCATTTAACATGTCCAGAAACCCTGAGAGCCGCAACCTAATGGTAAGTGCAACACGGGATGATGAGGTACGACGACAGCGTTGTCTCCTTCGAAGCCCCTCCTGGTGATCGCCGAAAGCCCCGAAAGCCGTTATGTCGCGATCCTCCATACCGGTGACCTCGTAGAGTAGTATGCCTTGCGAGTTACTCGAATCTACCTTGTTTTCGAATTCTTTTTCTAAAATACGAAATTCTTTTTTGTTAGGTTGGCGGACAGCCTAGGCTGGCCGCCGAGATAGGTGTGCAAGTGTGTGAGTGTGAATGTGTATTTGGCCCCTTGGCTCTTTTCTACTATGTTGGCCTGCCGGCTCTTTTTGGTAATTGGCTGTTTTCGTGGGAGCTTTCTTTTTCCCTTTTTATCATTTCTTTTTTTTCCGGTAACTTCTTTTCTTAATCTTTTTTTTTCTTTTCTTTTCTATTGATCTTTTTCTAACTTATTGTGTTTTTTTTATGTTATTTAATCTTTTTCTATTTTTATTTAAATTTCGAATTCTTTTTATTTGTGGAGTCACTCTCAGGAGTATGGTAGGTAAAGGAATAAAACAAAGTTGATTGGTGATAACAGGAAATCTCAGTGCCAAGCTTTGGTGCGATGTTGCACGGTGCGAGGCTGGGGCGAGAGTGAGCTGCGGAGGTCGAGTACCCTGTCGCGGTCGCGAGGGCTTCCGCGATTTTCGTGGAAAAAGTCAGCGCGAGAAATCAGGGAAACAGTTTTGTTGAATTGGGGGCGTGGAAATCGGCCCGGATTGGTGGAGACGCCGTTTTGGGGCGTGGCCTGGGGAATCGGGTTCCAGATAAATAACGCGAGCCGCGATGGTCTCGAGAGCAATTTTTGGATAGTCTTATGAGAGTCCTGTTGTGCGTAATTTCGGTTTCTTTTGGAAAAAAGGATTACGAATCGGTATTAGCTACGTCGGGTGTTCTGAGGGAACGGAAATAACCCCGAAATAGTAGAATCGCAGTGAAAATTGACTTTCGTATTGGGAAAATTGCCAAAAGTCGTTTTCTTGGAACTATTGAATAGTTCGAGGTAGAATTTCTAGTAGGAAAAAATAGACATTAGCGAGTTAATAGTATTGGAGAGACTAAGATATATTTTATATTTACCTGTAGAGTCGCGAAGACGGTTCGGGGAGTTGAGATAAGTAAAATTGGTTCGCGAAGAGTCTAAGTGTCGTTGAATTGCATCATCTAGGAGATCTTCAAGTCTGAGCTGAAACAAAGTATTATTAGTGTATTAAAAACTTACCGACAATATATGTGTCTAGTGTGACGTCTAGCGTTTCTTTCTGCATCTCTGTTTTGGCGATACCATCAGTATTGCTTCCTGGTATTAACTCAATAGGTACTGAAGTGTAAAGAATTCGATTATTAGTACCTTAATCTGTAAGCCAGAGGGCTGAATGTATGTAGTCAGAAAATTATAGATAAAAACTTGACTTTAAAGTGAGAACTAATAATAACTTACTTAATTTGACTAAATCAGAGTGCACCAAAGTAGGACCAAACTCAACGTGGACCCAGAGAGCAGACCGTAGTAAAAACGGGTAAGTGAGAACTGTGGGGGTAAAAGTAAACTCTTGAGACTTTGAACTTTTGATAGAGAGTGTTGAGACTTTGAGATAGACAAAATCGTAAAGATAGAGACTAGTAGTGAAACGTATTAAGTAAACAACTTGGTGGGTAACCTAGCCGCGGAACTAGTATTTCCAATTTTGTATAAAACTTGTATTAACTTGTAAAATGACATCAAGAGAGAGATTTGCTGCTTGCGCACTCCAGCCGGAGCGCGTCATCGAGGAGGCTCGGGTAGAGGAATCCCTAACCTCCACTGAATCTTTAGAGGGAGTGTTTAATATACAGGGGGAGATCGAAATAGAGGGCGCGATGGCACCAGTCCGGGATCTAGGGGGCATGCGTCCCGGAGTTACCTTTCCTTACTCTGAAAATGTAGAATCTAACAATATTTACCCGGAACAAGAAGCCGGAGGGTCCGTCGGCCTCCCGGGCGCATGCGCAAACGTTGGCGCAGCGATCCGAAGGCGCGAACGAGAACAACCCCCGCCTTTTATAGGGTTCGGTGCCATACAGTTAGGCTCCGCCCACTAGAACGTCGGAGTGACGTCACACGCCGCTCCGACGACAGCGTTGATATTGGTNTAAATTGATTTAAGCATTTTTGCATCGCATTAAACCCCGTGTGGTTTTTCGCATGTAATTGCTGCATGCGCTACGTAATTTCCACAGCCTAAATTCTCGCATTTTTCTAAATTACTCGCCACCGAGGTCGCGGTAATTTATAATTAACTTCAATTCGCTTTTTGATATACAGGGTGTACTCCAAGAGTCAGTTGCCTGGGCACCAACCCACAATTGACTCAGGATAAGAATTTGAGGACAAGTCTAACGTCGAGACGCGTAATTTTCATTACGAGTCTATAAACAACAACCACCGCAAAGAATTCGAAGTCTGCAATTTTTATTGCGGACTCTAAACTTTTCCGCCGTGGCAATCGCGTGCCTCTATGAGGGAAAAATCACCAGTGGAGCTAATTGACCGTTGCCGAGCGCTTGCAAGGATTTACGGTCTCTTAGCCCCCACAGAAGCTAGAACAGGAGCAACACACCGAGAGGCTTTGCACTGAGTTCGACGCCGGCGTCAACTCTAAGCCCTAGAAGCACCAAGACAGAGCCAGCGTTCTAACGACAGGGCGTGACAGTAAATCGCCCTCGAGGAAGCGACTAGGCCCAAGCAAGAAGTAGACGACCATCGGTCACCCGTGAAATATAGCTTCGTGCTCGACTGGCACGTCGTAAACCGGGCATACGTGCGGCCAGTTTCCGGAAACTGATGAGGTGGTGAAGATTCGCGCTCGCGTTTCGCGTTAGGGACTTTGCTGTGCGCACCACCGGCACAGGGAGGTCCTTAAGGAAGCAGGGAGAGGGTTTCTGACCAAATTCCACCAAAATTTCAATCATGGAGCATCGAAGAAATGGCGCCCAACGTGAAGGGGCCTCGCACGATCCTGCTACAAGCTACCCCAGATGGCGGGATATGCTAGAAAGTAGCTACCACCTACCTAGAACACCAAGAGCGCGGAGTCCTGACTTGGTGGACTCTGGACGCCACAAGACCCGGCGAGGTACCTGTAGCAGCACCGCGACGCTCAACGACGCCGCGCCACCAGGAGCGCACCCAGGAAGTCACCGCTGATGTCGAGCAGCGGCTGGCCACTCGCGCGATGCTGTTAGCCATAACAGCGTTGACCGAGAGGACAGAGGCCCTGCAGAGGCAACAGTTCCCCCAGAAACCCGAATTCGAGTTTCACGACAGGGAAGACGAAGATCCAGAGGCGTACCTGCGAAAGCTGAGCTCGACGGGCCTCGAGTGAAAACCAACCGTGTACCAGTAGCGCCGCGAGTGCAACGAACCCCCAGAAGCTTGCTTACGCATGGCATGCACAGAGACGTTCCCCGCGCGCGTTTGCATGGCCAGAAAGCATGGACTTTTGCACCCCTTTCTTTCTTTTGCATTTTGCATCCCCACCGCATCGCATTTTTGCATAGTGCAATCTGCATGCTTAATTTTAAAACTATATAACCATAGCTAATAATCGTTTCATATGTTATAGAGTTGAACCACGGACCTGGCGAGAAGGAACCACCGTCGGGGCCGCCCTACGCCATCGACGCCGTCCCCACCGCACCAGATCCGGGATCAGGGCGGTCCAGGAAGACCTGCGACCTTTTTCCCCGTCCCTAAGTTCCCTCCTGCAGGTTTCTCGCTCGCTCTTCCTGCAGGCAGTAATCGAGCTAGCGGATTAGTTTTAAATAAAAATGAAAACAAACAAAAACCCAAAAAAATGCACAGAAACAAAAACAAACAAAAAAAAAACAAAGGTGCTAAGGCAGCCTGAACTTGGAGGTACAGTACGAGGGAGGTGTCGTGGACGCGAATTTCAGATGCTGTGACGTCACCGTTTAGTTTCCCGTCCGCCTGCTTTGAGTTGGGCAACGGGCATGTCTCCTTCGTAGTCCCTCCAGGAAACCGCCGAAAGCCCCAAAAGCCGTTATGTCGCGATTCTCCATACCGGTGACCTCGTAGAGTAGTATGCTTTGCGATTTACTCGAATCTACCTTGTTTTCGAATTCTTTTTCTAAAATACGAAATTCTTTTTTGTTAGGTTGGCGGACAGCCTAGACTGGCCGCCGAGATAGGTGTGCAAGTGTGTGAGTGTGAATGTGTATTTGGCCCCTTGGCTCTTTTCCACTATGTTGGCCTGCCGGCTCTCTTTATAATTGGCTGTTTTCGTGGAAGCTTTCTTTTTCCCTTTCTATTATTTCTTTTTTTTTATTGATATTTTTCTAACTTATTATTTTTTTTATGTTATTTAATCTTTTTTCTATTCGTCTTTTATTTATATTTCGAATTCCTTTTTTTATTTGTGGAGTCACTCTCAGGAGTATGGTAGGTAAAGGAATAAAACAAAGTTGATTGGTGATAACAGGAAATCTCAGTGCAAAGCTTTGGTGCGATGTTGCACGGTGCGAGGCTGGGGCGAGAGTGAGCTGCGGAGGTCGGGTACCCCCGCCTTTTATAGGGTTCGGTGCCATACAGTTAGGCTCCGCCCACTAGAACGTCGGAGTGACGTCACACGCCGCTCCGACGACATCCCCCCGGTCCGAGACTTTGCACTGGGATTGTTCCTGACTTTATTGAACAATAAAATCAAAATCCCATACAAAAATCTGAAACAGGTACAAGAACATAAAATGGTTAAACAACAAGTTAAATAATCATAGTATAAGGAAAATACAACGTATATACATGTAAACAACAAACATAACAAAATTTTTCAAAAACAGTTAACAAAAGATAAATTTCCAGTCAAAAATAATATTTACAAAAATTTCAGGTGACGATCTGCAAGTGCTGTTCGACCGTATGACAAAGGTTTTTGTCGATTCAACTTGCAAAACGTGTTATCAAAATAGAATCGAGTCCAAATTAAAGTTTTTGTCGAAGCACTCGTGGTGTCACCGGCGCACCGACACCGATTCCGCGGCACTCGCGTCGTTCGCGGCACTTGCCGTCACTGCGCGCACTTACACTTCCCCGTAGGTGGACGTGCTGGCGATGTTTGGGTCGGGGTCGTCGGGTGGCTCGGCGTGGGCTGCATCGCTGGCCGAGGTTGACGGCTCGAAGTTGGGACTGCTGCGGCTCGCTGTGGGAGACACGATGACCATTACGGACCGACGCCTACGTGGTCGACCTCCGGGCTGCGGCGGCGGTCTGGTACTGGGATGCCATACTCGTGTACGGTATAGCGGCTCGTGGGGAACTGAGCAGCTTGGCTGTGGTGACGTCGGAGTCGTGGGTCGGCTAGGCAACTCGACACGGGCTGGAATGTCAGGAAGTGGCTCGGGGTGAACCACCACGTCATCTTCGTCCCCAATACGGCTGGCAGTGCCGTCGTCGTCGGGTTCTCCAGGCTCTGGAGGATCGGCTGGGGCCTCGTCCATGTCGTTAGCTCGGGGAGGAGGTGGTGTACGTAGATCGTCGACGTGGATAGGCTGAGCGTTGCCATTTTGATCTACCACGTACACGCCGTCGCCCAGGACCTCGACGATTGGGTATGGCCCTGACCATTTGGGTGCGAACGGCGGGTTGCCAGGTCTGGTTTTGGTGAGGACTAAATCTCCTCGTTGATAATGACGTGGGGCTTCTCGAGGCTCAGGGAATAGATTTCTCTGGTAAACTTCTTGTCGGCGGCGGGCTCTGGCTAAACGTTCGTTGCGGGGTTCTGGTGGTGGTCTGGCGGCTTCGGGTATCACCCAATCCCCAGGACGTCGTATATTTTGGCCAAATAGCAACATGGCCGGCGAAGCTCCCGTGGCGGCGTTGGTTCGAGTGCGCAAAGCAAACAAGGCTTCTGGCAAGGCCTCTTGCCAGCGCGCTGGACGCTCGATGACCAAGGCGCGGATGGTCTTCTTGAGTTCTTGAATACGGCGTTCTACCGGGTTGGCCCTCTGATGATACACTGGCGCCGTGTAACCCTGTATGTGATTGGTTTCCATGTAATGGGTCCATTTTACGGACTGATAGAGACGGGCGGCGTCGGTGATAATGCTCGCTGGATAC